ACCGCCGCACCTCCCATCCAAGCGCCCTGTGCACCGGGCAGCTCCCGTTAGCCCGGTGCCCGGCGGCCCGGGGCACCCCATCGCCTCCCTGCCCCTGTGACCCCACCCCGGGGGCACCCCACCACCTCCCTGCCCCTGTGCCACGGGGTGCCCCACCACCTCCCTGCCCCTGTGCCACGGGGTGCCCCACCACCTCCCTGCCCCTGTGCCCTGCACATTGGGGCTCTCCCATCACCTCCGTCTCCGCACCCAGTAAACGGGATCACCAATCCCCCGGGCACCCCCATCGCTCATGTGCCCCTCGCCCTCCCATCGCTCTCCGTCCCTGTGCCCAGCATGCTGGGACACCACCGTACAGTGGGACACCCTCATGCCCTGCGTGCTGGGGTCCCCCCCATCCTCCCTGCACCCCAGGGCTCACACTGCCAGCCCCACCGATGTGCCAAGCTCCTCGCCTGCCCCGGGGATGGTCCCCGGGTGGGTGCTGGCCCCTGCATGTGTGTGTTAGTGCGGGGGGTCCGTGCTCTCCGGCACAGCCAGGGCAGTGCCCGGATCCTGTCTGCTGTGCAGGCGAACTGGTCGCGCTCGCGTTTGTCTCAATTTAGCGCTGGGACACTGTGTGTTACGGGCAGGTGCCATCCGAGGGGGACTCTGGGACGTGCTAAGCTGTGGCAGTCTGACACCGAACTCAGGGTCAGCCCATTTGGAGAAAAACTATTTCCCAAGGCATTTATTCCCTAAATTGGATTACACACATATTTTCCTTTACATGGGGGACACCACTAACTGAAAGGCCTTGCATCAGGATCGTCGCCCTACGCTTTGCAAACAGCCCCTGCGATCGCAGCAGCAGAAAGAAGAGCAAAGAAGAAATGTTTCTCTCTGTTTTGTCAGGTTACTTGGTGCATTTGACAGCGCTCTCTGTATAATCAGGTCCTCTATTTCCTCTTTGCAGTCAGCTCCTCATTGTGTGGGTTTCCTCGCAGAATTCAGGAGAGCAAAACATTTTAGCAAATTAGGAAAAAAGCGTGTTTGGTTTTTTTTTAAGCCCACAATAATTGGCAGCTTTTAGTAGCTGAGCTTGTTTGTTTTGTCTTGTTGATTCGATTACAAGTTGATGGTGACTTGGCATTTGTGCGCGGTGCTGAGAGCAGCCATGTCCTCAGCGGGTGCCGTGGGGCAGAGGTGCATCTTCACCCGTCACCAAAGCACCTGGTGCTCATGTCGGCAGAAAAAAAGACTCAATGCGTGAAATTCAAGTCGTGAGAGAAAAGTAGCACCTGGGTGAAACAGACAGTCTTGTTTCCCTCTCTAAACTGAGAGAAATTTGAAAGGGGGGGGAAAAAAGCACAGATCAGTAGTCTTGTACTTTTATCCTGGCTTCCCCAAATCGCCTTGTTTTTGTCAGGCTCTGGGGAAAGCCTGCTGCTGCCAGGAGAGAAGAGATGGCTTTTTTTTTTTAGGTTTCATGGCTGTGAAGAACATCCTGCAGACTGGTGCTGGCTGTAATCAGTGCAGGATCGATCCAAAGCTTTCTCCTGGGGTCTGTGGATGGCCGTGAATGGCATCCGTGTAACCAAGTGACCTGCTTGTCTTCATGGGTTACTAAACCTTGAACTTGGTGATTTCCTTCTGGGTTAAGTGTGGCGTTGTGCATGTACCCCGTGAAACTGCAAGGACTCTGGGGGCATATGTGTGAATTGCCAGATGAATGATGAGCAACGTATTTCTGTTGTCCTGGGCCACTTTTCTCCTGGCAGAAGGCTGAATGCAACACTGATAATGCTGCTGCATTGTTGACGCCTGTCTTCAGGTCTTGGCCTCTCCTCAAGCTTCTTCCTGCTAGTGGGATCAAGGCAATCATCTGGCTTTTTTTACTTGGAAGATCTGGCTACGTGCCAGAAGGAAACCCAGTTGTCCAATGCCGGGCACATCAAGAGTGGCATTCTTGATGCAAGCTGTTCTTAATTATCCCCATAATATACAAAACCTGAGTTTTTGATCCCCCTTTTTCTTTTGCGTCCTGCTAGCTTACTTCTGCTGAAGAATGGCCGCTCCGTTTCATGCTCTGGTTCGGATGTGCCAACGAGAGCCTGCAGTGCTGCCTTTGCAGTTGACCAGGAAGTTATTTGTAGAAGAGCAGGTATATTTTAAAGCAGGGCTTCGGTCAGTATAAGAAGGTCCACCCAGGAGTGCTCCAGTGGCGTTCTGCTGGCGGGGCTGTCTTACAGGGCTGGTTGCAGCTCTCCACGCGAGCGAAGGCTTGCAGAACTGGACCTGCAGCTTTGCTGTGCCTCCGTGTGATTTATGTGAAAGGGTTCCCATAGGCACGGTGGTAATTTTATGGTAGTGTGTGAAGTAGTGTGATCTGCTGCTTTCCAGTAGCTGCTTGTGCCCTCCGCTCCCCAGCAGCTGGAGAACGGTGCTCTCCTCTCTCCCAAGGGCACGTGCAGCGTTTGTGACCTTTTCTTGGTGAAAGGTGTTTGATGAACAAGGTGTTCATGGAGTCTTCGTGTTACTTGCTTCACACTGGAGATGCAGGAAAAATGTGTATTTAGAGTGTCCTTAAAATGCTGTGGATTATATGGGTGCTCCCCGTTGGGAAGGTAACGTCCCAGTTGTCCAGGAGAAATTCTAAAATGACAAGAGGAGCTTGCAATGGGAAGGTGAGGTGGTTGCTTCTGCTGTGCTGTTCCTTTATGCTGTGATCTGTTGACGGCGTTTCACTGTCCTTCCTGGTGCTGTTTGCTGAGCGAGGTCTCGTCAGGAACTGTCCTCACCTCACTGCTTGGAAATGATCAGACCGATAAGATTTTACTGCAGCACATAATTCTGAGTTCAGAGCTTTACAGTTTTGTTTTGCAAAGATCTTGAAGAAAAGTGAAAAGTAACGTAAGAACCCCCCACCTTTCTTTTCTGCCTTAATCCGCAAGGTATAACATACAACCCTGGCCTGCCATTTGTTTTATTCGTGGGTTCCTTGTCATAAAGGAATGGTAGGGAGGAGTGGTGCATAAAAATCGCCCCTTTTCGCTATTGGTTTTTTTTCCATAATCAGATTGTTCTACGTGTCTTTACATCTGATTTCTAAAAAGGAGTGTGTTGGGCTTAATCCACTGGTCGCATGCTGCTGGCCAGGTTGTCCCCCTAGATGAGCAGTCCCCATCCCCTGTATTTATCTGGAATATTTTAGAACATTTTAGCTGTAGTGAAAAATATTTGTGCCAAAGCAAGTGAGCCGACTCTGACAACAAATCTGTCTGGGGGTGTGTGCTCTCGTGGAGTCCCGAGGGAAATGGAAATGGGAGAGAGCAACCGGCAGCTCTTGTGTGAGAGCGTGAGAGGTGCCCACAGAGGAGCACAGCACTGGGAGTGGAAGGAGCCACAGTCCAGCTCTCCTGCATATCCCAGAACCAGGGTGGCAGCCGGTGGCCGAGCGGGTCCCCCCCCCAGAGCATCTCTCCCAGGAGCCCACGTTTAATATTCCTTCTTAAAGCTGTATCTAAATCCTCCTGCAGTTCATAGCCCTGTGTCTGATCAGATCTGGGAACGCTGATCTTGAAAACGGAGGCATTTCTAACACTGCTGCTGAGGCAGAATTGCACACCAAAGATTTTGTCTTCAGTGAGCTCAGCGGCTTGTCTGTGCTGTATCACACTGGGTCCCCACGGAGATCCACCCAGGCTGCTACCCCGTCTGGCCCATGACATCCCAAATATCTACTTCTTAGCTCTTTTCATACCCAGTGTTTGTAAGCATCCTTCCTCTCTGCAGCAAATGCCTGAAACCATGTCCTCATTCGGCTCTCCTTGCCCTTCTTCCCTTTCTTCTCCTTGTATCGAAGGAGTGTGCGGAGACAGGTGGGAGTGTTGCTTTAGTATGATAGTTAATGCTGTGGAGTAGAGGGGGATGAGAAGGTGAGAGTGGCTCTGCAGGAGAAGATGGCAGCAGCCGGCAAGCGGCTTCCCTCGACGACTCGTGAGCGAGCTCCCAGCGCCTGAGTGCTCTGTGTTCGGGCCGTGCTCGATTTACCATCCGTGCTTGTGTCTCCTTTCAGGAATGGATAATCAGACGGTGCTGGCTGTGCAGTCCTTACTGGATGGTCAAGGAGGTGTGACGGATCCATCTGCTCAAAATGTCAACTCCTCCACTGCCATCCAGTCGATGGGTGAGTCCTGGTAGCACTGGGAGAGAGGGGCAGGGGCTGCAGGTCTCTTCCTACAGCATACTCTCGTGACTGTCAGAACAGCTGTAGGTGTAGGGTGCTGCTACGAGTATTGTGAGCCCTCGGCAGGACTAAGCAGAGTGGGAGGAAGGGGCAAGTGCCCAAGCGAGTTGGTCATGGCAATAGACTGGACCACGCATTTACAATAAAGGCATGAAAGGAGGGAGCAGCCGCTTCTCCCTGCCACTAGTGCTTGTTACTGTTCACATTTTTTATTTAATGAGCCATTCCTTATCCTCTGGGGATGTACAACTACTCCAGTCATTGAGTATCTTATCTGTGTGAATGAATATGGAAACTGGTGCTCGACCAGGACTCGCTGGGTGGATACCGAGTTATCCCCTGGAGGAGTTATAGTCTGTGTCCCCAGAAACGTTCTGCTTCAGGCTGTGAATCAGAGAGAAGGTACAGCCTTGTGAGTCCAGCTGGATCAAGTGCAAAATGGTGTGTGCTTGTATGGTTTGCTAACGCTGCAAATTTAATCTAGGACGTGGTAACTGGGTTGTCTTCTTTCTGCTTCTAACGTCAAGCAGAAGCGCCAAAGACCAGCGGTCTTGTGGGGGGGTGGCTTTCGGACACAAGCTGCCATTGACTGTGCCCTGATCGAAGTTACTTCTCTTCCTTTGTGCAACCTGAGTAATAAAAATCTGCCTCAGCCGGCATAATGCAGGTGTTTTGGAAGAAGCTGTTTTGACTAAAAGCAGAGGGTGCTACAGGGGCAAGGCTGAGTTGGTTGTTCATGTCTTTGGGATGAGAAGGCAGACGCGGGATTCAGTTTGTCACAGGGAGATGGCAGGTTTCGTATATGGGAGCAGGGCTGAGATGGGCTCAATCACATCAGCTGGCTTTAAGGGAGAGCTTGGGACTGGGGAGGAGGGACTGTTTGGCCCTTGTAGCTGATCTCTCCTGATGATGATGTCCTTGAGGTGCTAAGATCCAAAAGGTGTCTGTTTTCCTATGGCTGTGGTTGTTAGGTGTAGCGCTGGGGAATGCAGAAGAAAGCCTGCAGCAGTGATCTGGTCCTCTTAATTGCAGATGACGAAGATGTGTTCCTCTGTGGGAAGTGTAAGAAGCAGTTCAACTCGCTGCCTGCCTTCATGACCCACAAGAGAGAGCAGTGCCAGGGAAATGCCCCTTCTCTCTCCACGGTCTCGCTGGCCACCAACAGTGTGTACACCCCCTCTATCACATCGGTGCAGCAGGCTCCGAGCGCCAGCCGGCAGGTACCGTGCTGTGGGCAGAGGCTCTGCTGCTCTGTCGCCGTGGTTTTGGGAGTGGGGGGGACCTCTGGGTCACGCTTTTAGATCCAGTGACGCCTCATGACTGACCTCTCTTCTGGGAACCATAGAATAGTTTGGGTTGGAAGGGACCTCTAAAGGTCAGCTCAGTTGTGGTCCTCTTGGCTTTTGACCTCATGGTTGAAGCTGCCTGGTCCTCTGCAGTGAGGTGTCCTTCAGCACAAGTGTCCGATAGCCCTTTTTTCAGGACGGGAGGGGTTTCATATTGTGTCTGTGCTACAGCCAGACTTTGGTTCTACTGGAGAGCCCCAGTGTCACAGGCTGGCAGGCTGGCCACGTGCCTGGGTGCATGCTGTGCGGTGCTCAGGGTGGAATGGCTCCCGCTGTCCCCTGGGCCGTGGTCTGGCTCGTGGGCAGAAGAGGAGGGCAATGTCTGGCAGCCTCATTCCTGCATCCCTCTTCTCAGTCTCCTGCAGATAAGCCCACATAATGTGGTGTGACAAGCGTTAAGGGGATATCCTCTCTGGAGTAACTCTCCTTCCCAACAGACTTCTCGGGAGTGAATCCCTTGTGCATGACATGTACTGTGCCTGCAATCATGATGGTTTCCGAAGTGCTTTCAAACCAACTGCTTTTTTCAAGTTAACTTAGTGCCAGTGGATGGTGCTGCCCAGGGCTGCAAACACAAGTTGTTTCCACACGGAAAATGGGACAGCCTCCCTCCCCTCCTATAATCCAATTCCAGTCTGAAGAGATGAGCCTGACGTTCATCATCTGCAGCCAGAGCAGCCTCCCTCAGTTCTCCACCTTCCCTAGCTGGGGGAAGCACCCAGGAGAGGCCTGAACTTGTCTGTGACCAGTTTGTCCTGCAGATCTTGTTTAATAACCTCTGATTTGAATTGTAGCCAGTGGCCACTTTCCCGAGCCATGTGATGTTTTTTACCTCCTTTTCTGAAGAACATTTCTGGAGCTGCCTTATTGTTATGGCTAGAAACTACCATGGACTCAGCAGGAAGCTGTAGATAATTACTGTGGCTCACCAGAGGCTGTGAAAGCAGAGACTCCGAGGTTCAGTAAAAAGCAGTGTTGTCGGTTTTTGTTTATTGTTTTGTCCTCTTGCTGCTCAACAATGCATCTTTTTTTTCTTTCAGCAAATTTCTACGTACATCACCGTTCCCCCATCACCTTTGATCCAGACCCTGGTGCAGGGGAACATCCTAGTCAGCGATGAGGTGCTGATGTCGGCCATGTCTGCTTTTACATCCTTGGACCAGCCCATGCCAACAGTGCAGCCCCCGGCGCAGGTAGGGGGCACGTGTGGGCTCAGGGAGTCCCGCTGCATGGGGCCGTGCTTGCACAGCAGGAGAGTCCTGTTGGTCGATCAGACTCTAGAGATCTGCTTCGATGCTGAATCCTGGGCACCTTCCTAACGTGACAGCCAGGCTTGGGAAGGAGTGATGGATAAATGACAGGATAGCTCCAGGGCCTGCTCTCTCCTGGTGTCCTTGTTGCTGGATGCCCAAATCTTTGTAACGTGGTCTCTCCAGCTTTTTGTTGAGCCCCCATATAATGGTTGGCTTCCAGAGCTCTTGTCAGTTTGCTCCATGGATCCCTCTCCCCCTGGGATGGTTGTTTTGGGCTCTCCCCAGGTCTGGCCAGGCTGAATACACTCTCCATGCTCTGAAAATGTTCTTTGTAACCAGAAAGATTAAAAGCTGTAAAAACAAAGCAAAAAAGGCAGTGGGGCTTGAGCGCTTGGGTTTTGGAGGAGACAATGTCTACCAGCAGGTCATGCCAACCCTCTGCAAGCCAGCACAGTCTGGTTCAACCTGGCAGTTAGACAGTGCTGCGTTGTGTCAAGACATAATCGCTGTTTCTGCAGGTGCTGGTTTGAATTGGGATTGGGAACGTGTGAGGGAGCCGCCCCTCCAACTCATCGCTGCTGCATTTTCAACATCTTGTCTGTCTGTCTCTCCCTGTTCCGGTTTTAGAGCAGCTTGAGTATGCACGCTGGGGCTGGCTACCTCTCCCAGCCC